TGGTGGGACCTCCGCAAAGCGTCCAGTGCTAAGGGACTGTAAGGCTGGCGAGTGTCCATGCATTTAGCACTAGGAGATGGTTGGTGATGTTCACGTAAGCAGATTTAGCGGGCTGGTGGGGCAGAAGCCAGGTGCCGTGGGTCCTGGAGTAAGCAGGCTACCGGGCTGGTGGGGCCGAAGCCAGGTGCCGTGGGTCCTGGAGTAAGCGGGCTAGCGGGATGTTGGGGCAGAAGCCAGGTACCGTGGGTCCTGGAGTAAGCGGGCTAGTGGGATGGTGAGGCAGAAGCCAGGTGCCGTGTGTCCTGGAGTAAGCGGGCTAGCGGGATGTTGGGGCGGAAGCCAGGTGCCGTGGGTCCTGGAGTAAGTGGGCTCTCAGGAGGGGGGGCAGGAGCCAGGTGCAGTGGGTCCTGGAGTAAGCGGGCTAGCGGGATGTTGGGGCAGAAGCCAGGTGCGTGGGTCCTGGAGTAAGTGGGCTAGCGGGATGGTGGGGCAGAAGCCAGGTGCCGTGGGTCCTGTAGTAAGCGGGCTAGTGGGATGTTGGGGCAGAAGCCAGGTGCGTGGGTCCTGGAGTAAGCGGACTAGCGGGATGGTGAGGCAGAAGCCAGGTGCCGTGGGTCCTGGAGTAAGCGGGCTCTCAGGAGGTTGGGCGGAAGCCAGGTGCCGTGGGTCCTGGAGTAAGCGGGCTAGCGGGATGGTGGGGCCCAAGCCAGGTGCCGTGGGTCCTGCAGTAAGTGGGCTAGCGGGATGTTGGGACAGAAGCCAGGTGCCGTGGGTCCTGGAGTAAGCGGGCTAGCGGGATGGTGGGGCAGAAGCCAGGTGCCGTGGGTCCTGGAGTAAGCGGGCTAGCGGGATGGTGGGGCAGAAGCCAGGTGCCGTGGGTCCTGGAGTAAGCGGGCTAGTGGGATGGTGGGGCAGAAGCCAGGTGCCGTGGGTCCTGGAGTAAGTGGGCTAGTGGGATATTGGGGCAGAAGCCAGGTGTGTGGGTCCTGGAGTAAGCGGGCTAGTGGGATGATGGGGCAGAAGCCAGGTGCCGTGGGTCCTGGAGTAAGCGGGCTAGCGGGATATTGGGGCAGAAGCCAGGTGTGTGGGTCCTGGAGTAAGCGGGCTAGTGGGATGTTGGGGCAGAAACCAGGTGCTGTGGGTCCTGGAGTAAGTGGGCTAGCGGGATGGTGGGGCAGAAGCCAGGTGCCGTGGGTCCTGGAGTAAGCAGGCTCTCAGGAGGTGGGGCAGAAGCCAGGTGCCTTGGGTCCTGCAGTAAGCGGGCTAGTGGGATGGTGGGGCACAAGCCAGGTGCCGTGCATTCTGGAGTAAGCGGGCTAGCGGAATGGTGGGGCAGAAGCCAGGTGCCGTGGGTCCTGGAGTAAGCGGGCTCTCAGGAGGTAGGGTGGAGGATTCACAAACGGCGGCTGGCGAGGAGAAAAGAAACAAGCTCGAGAAACTCAAGTCCTAAGAACTGCTGTGGTAGGAGTCTCCCTGTGGGGGAGGTTGGAAAGATAGACTTGAAGGTAAGAGAAGTAAAATAAACAAGCATTTTCTAAAGCTCCGAGAGGATGTGGCCTTGCCCCACCCAGTCCTGGGAGAAAAGGGCAGGGTGGACCCACTATTTTCTTTGATATCTGAGTATTGTCTCTGCTGCCTGTGTCCTCTCCGAGGATGGATCTATTTATGTCATTCCCAGACACCAGACAATGTCTGTCCCATTCTAGGTAACAAAGACTTTTCCCAGAAGTTGGAGTAAAATTTTCCTCACCAACTCTTGTGTTCCCCAGAGTCTTCAGGTTTTCAGGAATTTCTGAAAAGAATTCTAACTATTTTGCAGTCATTTCGTAGTACTATAATATGTGTTTCCCTGGGTGTGGTGTGCTGAACTTTCCTAAAGTGAAGACGCTTTTCCATCCGCTCAGAACAGGGTTGAATTCCAAGGACAGCGAGCACAGGGAGTCAGCTCTGACTGTTGGCCCTCCCAAGCCGGCGTTCCTTGTCTGGCTGCGTGCTCAGGGACCGCTGTGCTTGCCCGTGGACTTAGGTATGTTCAGTGAGCCTGAGTGAAGAAGAAAGCAGGAGGCGTGGGTGTGAGCAAGGAGTGCGCGCTGTGTTGGTCGCACAGCTCCACGTTGCTTCCGTACTCTACCGGGAGCCCAGGTTTTATAGAGACAATCTGTTTCACCTTGCAGAATAAAAAGCATGAAACTCTGTGAAAGCAAACACGCAAAAGATGGGCACACACAGTACAATATCCATTCTGTAACTATGATCTCAGTTTTTAACTTGTAGAAAAATTGAGACGGGAAGATAGCTTGATGTGTATGAAATTAAGGAGTCAGGAATCAATTTGATGGTTTTAGAGGGAGATTCTTCATCACACTGGAGAAGGAACTTTCAGGGAACTAATGCACTTTAGTTCACAGTTAATTGTTGAGAATGTCTTGGGGGAGGATTTGGACACATTATTACATTTACTGTGGACTTGATATCTGTTATTATTACCTTTTAATATATTATGAAATAATTATATAACTTGCCATTCTCCAGAACCAGTGGGAGCCCAGAGTTTGTTTTGCTGCAACTAGAAGGTCCCTTCTGGGAGTGATGGGAGACAGTGGCATCCGAAGTGAGTTTCTTATGTCCAGTCTACTCTGTAATCTTGTTTAGGTGACTGTGGAGCAAAGATAGGCTGTTGAAGATTGAAGGGAATTTTTTAATGAGTTTGTGGCAGGATAGTCTGCCTTGACTCTACAAAAGAACATATGGATCGTGGAAGTTGTCTCAGACATACGTATGACGGCATCACTGTATACGACCGCCAGCTGTGGATCCTCTTTCACTGGCCAAAGTTGGTTTCCCTGGATTCTTCGCAAATGGGTCACGGATCTGTTCCTTCCTACTTTGGGCTTCTTTTATGGTTTGAAAGTAATGCTCAGACTTTTTTGAAAGCTGAGATGGGTGATCATGCACCCACTGGAGAAAGGAGCTCACTTTCAAAATCTCTGCTAATATCTGAAATATATAAAAATATTCTAAGGTTCACTTATTGGCCCCATGGTTCCAATCTGACTTTGAGCACAGGCAGTTTATCTGATGACTTAAACATAGCTGCTGTATTCCCTGAAGTGATAAGAGTTTGTTGGGAAGGTTGAATCTTACCCAAGTAATCAAATTTTGTAACCTATTCTGTCACTGAAATATGCTACTAGTGGTGGTTGTTCTTCTGAAAGAAGAACCAAAAAGTGGTGGAGTCTTGCAGGTAGCTTTTCACTGTAACTCACAAACTCTGGCCAGTGATCTACCTAGAAAGCCTTCTCACTTCTGTGTGTACGAGAAGACGTGCTCTCCGCACTCCTCCCCTCACCGAGCTTCCTGAGCAGACAGTCACGGGATGGACTTTAATGTGCTTGGTAATTTTAATCACATCCTGCCAGATGTTAAGACCAGGTCATACATTTTCAACTACCCAGTATTTCTCTGTGGAGGACATAATGCGTAGATGCACATTCAGAAGGGACTTTTTTTTTGTACCAGGGATTAAACTAGGGACCTTGTGCTTGCCAGGCGGGTGCTTATGTCGCTGAACTATCTCCCTGGCTGGAAGGGACCTTCTAAATTGCATCCAGTTGTGGCAGCCTTTCTACCCATACAGGTACCAGCACAAAATGACTGATGAAGCTTTTCTCATATGTAGTCAGAGACTTGAACAGTTCTGCAGCTTTGGCGTTGGTGGGCGATAAAAGTGCACATAATGTATCCTTTTGCACTCTCCTTAAAAAGATACCACATAGAGCCGGGGTTGTCACTCCGAGGCACAGTGCCTGCCTGGCAAGTGCAAGGTCCTGAGTTTGATTCCCAGTACAAAGAAAAAATCACATAAAAACAAGCGTTGTCGCTTCATTGCTAACATCTGTAGATTTGTCAACCTGAATGGCATACCGGAGTGGCTCGGTAATAGTCTCTAGCAATTGTGTCTGAGTGTCTTGGGCTTTTTCATCAATTCCTCTGGATGTGGTGCCAGAAGAGGCGCGTGGGCCACCTTTCGAACTGCAGCTTCTCCTAAAGGTTCATGACCTGTATTCTTAGCAACGGGCAAGATCAACTCTTTACCAGTGAAGGGCTTCTTAGCTTTCACAGTGCAGTTAGCCAGTGAGCACGGCGCTCAGTGCCGAGGCATTTGGTGATGGGGTGGCCTGCGGCGATTGCTTCTGGGCCTCATGCTCACGTTTTCTTCTTCAGAAAACTTCAAAGGCTTGTCTTTAAAGGCAGAGTGCTTGGTCTCCGAGCGGTGACACAATTTTGAAAGTTCCACGACTTTGTTGGGTAGCTGCTCACCACATACAATACAGAATAAGCTTGGGGATGTGACTCACTCATTGCAGTAGACGTGTATTGTAATTTCAGTAGAACGCAGCTTTTCTTTGGGTCGCAGTCCTTCTGTCCCATAATTAGGTCTTTCCCCCTCTTCTGGGAAGCTCTCAAGTGACATTTGCTTCTCACTCATTTTGGCCAGGGCTGGCTTGTGGGCTTACCACAACCGTGACTGAGACAAGTACACTGGTCAAGTGGCAGGCAGGGGTGGAAGGTGCCTTAGTCACTTTTTTTCCATCTCAGAACATGATACTAGACCAGTGTTCAGGACTTAAAGGAGCAGAGGTTTATGTCTCATTGCAGAGGAGGTTTCTTTTTTTTTTTTAAGTGATTAAAGGCAATTTATTACAGCAGCATGTACATATTTTATTCTAAAAGAATAAAATGCACAAGAGGAATAGCTTTTATTTTTCTTTGCAACTTGTGAAATTGAGTTTTTTGTTGTTGTTGATGTAAAATACTTTCACTCAAGTAACTCACTTGAGGACCATGCCACCTTATGAGGATGCCATATAACTACCTAGGTGTGTCAAAGCGCTAGCTCACAGAGGCTTCTGGGTCAGCACGGACTGGGATCTGGGAGCAAGGCCACAGCCCCGGAGAAGGGGCTTTGTAGTCTGAGGCAAGATGTCTGTGTGGCTCTCCCTGGCACAGCTTGTGCAAGATCCCCTAGCCTTCTCTTGCTTCCTTTTAAAGGGCTGATTTGGGCTGACTGGTTGAGAGTGGTCCATTATCTACTGAGTCATGGGAAAGATTGCTGCGGTTACATGTAAACTGAGGGCTGCAGAAAGTACGGGTGGAGGGGGTGGCCAAGCAGTGGGCCACCAGTATCTAGGTGAAGGTCACACCAGCTTCATTGTACACTTTGAAGACCTTCTCAATGGCATTGACATAGGCCACCGTCCTCAGGTCCAAGCCCAGGTTGTACTTCATCGCTGTGTGCATGATTTGCCTGGCAGAGTGCTCCATTGTGTAGGCCAAGCCTGAGTGCACAATGTCTTTTTCCGATGCGCCCGATATTCTGTCCTGGAACTCTGCTGTTGGGACGATAGGAATTGTTCCACCATGCTTCCCAAATTTTCTTTCTAAGCTTTCTTGAACAGATATGAGCAAGTGGTAGTTAGAATCCCTTTCATATTTGAAGGTCAATCAGCCATAGCTGACATGGTTTAGATTCTTCAGCCACTCAAAGTAAGATACCGTCACTCCTCCAGCATTCAAATAGAGATCCGGAATAACCATGATGCTCCTCTCCAGGAAGATCCTGTCAGCCTCTGGAGTGGTGGGTCCATTGGCACCTTCGGCAATGATCTTGGCTTTGACTTTGGGTGCATTGGATTTGGTCAACTGCTTCTCACTGGCAGCTGGGATCAGGATATCGCAGTCAGCTTCCAAGATGCTTCCTTCATATATTCTTGCCTTAGGGAATCCCAGAATTGATCCATGTTGCAATTTGAAATCTTCCAGTTCTTTTGGGTCAATACCATCTGAATTATAAATACTCCCATCAGATTCCCCAACACCAACACATTTAGCACCAAAACGATGTAAATATCTCATAGTGTGCAGGCCTACATTGCCAAAGCCTTGAACAACAAACGTTTTATCTCCAAAGCCAGGTGTCATTCCTAAAATGCTCATGTAGGAAGCTTCGTTGATGAAATTCTCAATTCCATGAAAAACACCTTGGCCAGTTGCAGAGATTCGCCAGTGGATGCCCCCTTGACTGATCGGCTTTCCGGTAACGCAGGCGTGTGCGTTAATATCATAGTGCCCTATGGTGCTGGCATAAGTGTCCGCGATCCAGGACATCTCCCGCTCGCCAGTGCTCATGTCCGGGGCAGGCACATCAATGCCAGGACCAATAAAACCTTTCTTTGCTAGCTCCATGGTGAACCTTCTTGTGATCTTTTCTAATTCACTATCTGAATAGCTCCTAGGATTGCTCTTAACACCTGCTTTAGCCCCTCCAAATGGTAATCAACCACTGCACACTTGTAGTCATCACTGAAGCCAGTGCCTTCACTTCATCCACACTCACATCAGTGCTGTAGCGGATCCCTCCCTTGCAGGGCGCGCGGTGCTGGCTGTGCTGGGCGCGGTAGCCCTCCACGACCTCCCAGGAGCCGTCGTCGCGCCGGATAGGGAAGGAGACGCTCAGCACATGGTTGCAGGGCTTGATGATGCGCAGATGCCGCGCACGCGATTGCGCTTCTGCTCCTCGCTCTCGCGGGTGCGCAGGTCCTCCACCAGCTTGTCCTCCACGGTGTTGGCGCCGCGGTCGAAGAAGCCCTCCACCATCTTGAAGTTGGGGTGGTCCTCGCGGTCGGCGGCCGCCTCGCTGTAGCGGCGGCGGGGCTGAGGCGAGGAGCGCAGAGGAGGTTTCATTTTAAAATAGTTTCAAATTTTGGTGCCAAGGACTGAACCCAGGGCCTGAACCCAGGGCTTCCAGCTTGCTGGCAAGCGTTCTGCCCCTGAGCCCAACCCTTATGTTTCCTTCCTTGTGCAGCTGGCAGCATGGTAGAAGGGCGCAGAAAAGCCACTCACCTCATGGAGGCCAGAAAGCAGAAAGAGAAGGGGAAGGAGCCCTGGAGGCCACTGCACGCCGCCAGGTCGCAGCCCCGTGACTTCCCTGTCCCTCCCGGGCCCTTCCTTCCTAATGTCGCACCGCGCAGTCTCCTTTCTAAAGCCCCACGTGTAAGCACATGAGCCTTTGGGAGGACATCCGGATATAAAACTATAACAGAAGTGATCAATCAAATAATGGCTGAAGTGGGTGCCAGATCCTAAGTTAAAGCTCGTCCCAGGTGAGCGTCCAGCCAAGCACAGCAGCGCACGTGCTGTGCACACTGCCACCAGGTGCAGCTGAGTCGTAGTATTTTTTATCATAATTTTTATTTTGAAGAGTGAAAAGAGCAAGACAGACCAAAGACAGAAACAGGGTAACATAAAACGATACATACATTACAGATTTTCAAAACAAGAAAAGCTGATTAACAGTGATTGATATGTCATCTATTTTTATCATCAAATCTGTTGCTCAGATTAACAGATATAGTTATGCAAGATGAGTCATATGATTGAATATTATTACCACATGCTTTCAAGAAGTCTTAGTTTTTCTTATGAGAGACTTAGAAGTCTCTCATTTTTTATTATCTTTAAAAATAAAGATAATAATCTTTAAAGAGAGTATAGTACTAATTCATATGACATTAGAAAGGCTAAAATGACAGGTATTCCCAGCATGGTTTTAGTATTACACGTTGCTGTCCTCCATGTAGTTGCTTAGTTCACAGACATCAGCATATAGAGTTAGTCAGGTTGAGAATTCTACCCATAAACTGCTATTTTCGAAAACCTGATGGAAATTGTTAGGACCACTGCCTTATCCATCCTGTACATGTAAATGTATGGTTTTGCCCCACCTTATTTCCTAACTTTTCTTTCTCTTTCTTCGTTGTTTAATCCTTACGTTCTCTTTCTTTCCATTTAACTGTGTTATACCTTTCAGTTTTTATTTCTTCTTTTGAGCTCTTACTCTAGGGAGACTATGATATTTACACATGTGGGTCTGGCTTATTTCACTTATGAGTATAGCTTCAAGTTGCATCCACTTACCTATGAAGCCTTTAAGTTTGTTTTTCTTTATAGCTGAGTAATACTCCATTGTATAAAAGCATCACATCTTTTTCATCCATTCCTCTGGTGATGGGCATTTTGGCTGTTTCCAGGATTTGGCTATCACAAATTGTGTGCAGCTTAATTATTAACTGCCAGTCATTGATACGATATTGATATGAGTCTTTGAGTAATTGACTTAGTATGGTCTCTATGCAGTTAAACCTCTGCACTAACGTTAATTTGTATGGGCAGTCATTCCCTAGTGCCAGCATCGTTGCCTCAGCAGTGTCATGTGTTGCCACTCAGAGACTTGACTAGTTCTACAGGTCATCAGGCAGTGGATTCTTACAAGGAGCCCGCAACCTAGATCTGTCACATGCACAGAGCACAGCAGGGCTTGTGCTCCTATGAGAATCTAATGCCACCACTAATCTGACAGGAGGCTTGGACAGTAATGCAAGTGACAGGGAGCAGCTGTCTACACGGATGAAGTTCACTTGCTCAGTCATCCACCACCCACCTCTTCCTTGTGCCAGCTGACCATCAGGCCACAGGTGCATGGACCCAGGCTTGGGGACCCCTAGCCAACACTCTTTCCTCTTCAAGCTGCTGAGTTCATAAACGAAGGCACTTTCTCCCTCAAATCAAATGACAATTTCTTCTTCTTGGCTTTTTATTCCACTAGATAACTCCATTCCCACTACATTCAGATTCTTTCCTTGTTCAGCAAACAGTATTGAGACGGGCACTAGCTCCTCACTCATATTCTAGATTAGATGACACACTGAAGCCCAAGACTGACTTTGTTTAAAGTACAGGCAGTTTTAGTAAAAGCTGCTGTCTCCTGTGATGTATTGGTCGCTTCAGTTTGCTTTAGGAGACCAATCCTGTCTGAAGTCCAGGAACCTTCTTCTAACCTCTTTGCCTTTCTCCTCGTCAAATGGGTACCAAAATATGCTTGTAAAATCAATGGCGAGGGCGCTTATGTTGTCCATTCGTATTATCATTTATACCTGGCATATTTTTGGCAGGAAGTATAAAACTTCCTTCTTCAACATAAGATTGAGTTTTCACATATCTAAAGTGTATGTACTGACAATAAAAATAAATAATATATCAATCATTGTTACCCAGCTATTCTTGTTTTGAAAATCTGTAGCATATGTATTGTTATATGTTACCCAGTTTCTGTCTTTATTTTTGTTTTTCTTGTTCTTGTTTTTATTTTTCAAAATAAAAGAAAATTATAATTAAGAAGAGAAAAAAAGCATGTGTACACTGTTATTGCTGGTTGAAGTGACAGCCAGCTGCTTAGCGACCAGATGATGTGAATCAAAGCTACCATGGCATTGGGAAGCTTGACCGCCTCTTATTCAGAAGACCATTCCCTCTTACACTGATACGTACCACCAGAGAAGTTGCAAGTGGCCGTCAAATTACATCTTTGAATACACTCAAAGCACAGCCTAGCGAGACCAGGTATTTCTGCCAAAATGATGCAAAAGATATGACACTGGTCTGCAAAGAATAGATGAGCTGGCATTCAGAAGTGGCAGCTTGGACTAGTTAGCTTGGTCAGTGACTGCCGAGGTGCTAGAACGAGCAGTCTGCAAAATCAACAGCAAGGTAGGAGTGTACAGCTTCCCATTTACTTATTGTCCACCTTTGTGGCTTCTAGCCCCACTGACATTTTATTGAAGTCCTCAGCAAGTTTTATCTCTTCAGGATATCTTGAAATCTGAGATGATAATGCCTCCTTCTTTGCTTAGCTTTCTGCTCAGGCTTGCTTTGGCTATTCTGGGTCTTTTCTGGTTCCATATAAATTTTAGAACTTTTGGTCTAGTTCTATGAAGAATTTACTGTTGGTATTTTGGTTGGGACTGAATTAGATCTATATGTAAGTTTGGGCAGTGTGGCCATGTCGATAATTTTGATTCTTCCTATCCAAGAAGAGGAGATGCCTTTCCAGTTTCCAATGTCCTGTTCAATCTCCTTCTTAAGAGTACCATAGTTTGGGTGTTACACAGATTCAATGAAGTCCTAATAAAATACCAACAACACACTTTACAGATCTAGGGAAAACAATCCTAAAATTTTCATGGAATCAGAAGAGACCTAGAATAGTAAAAGCAGTTTTGGGCAGCAAGAGCAATGCAGGAAGCATCATAATGCCTGGCTTCAAACTATACTACAAAGGACTAGTCATAAAAACAGCAGTGCAATGTGGAGTAAAACAGATAGGTGAATTAATGAAACAGAGCAGAACATACAGAAACATGCCCAGGTATGTTTAGCTATTTGGTTGCTGATAAAGGAGTCAAAAGCTTATATTAGAGGAAAGATAGCCTATTCAGCAGTGGTGCTGGGGAAACCAGATAACTTTGCAGAAGACTGAAACTGGACTCTATCTCTCATTGTGTACTAAATTAAATCTAAATGGGTTAAAGATGTAAACTTGAAAATAGAAACATTGAACATACTAGAAGATAAAATAGGTAAAACACTGGAAGCCATAGATGTAAGAAAGAATTTTCTAAACAAAACTATAATTGTCCAAGAAGTAACAGCAAGAATCAACAAATGGGATTATATCAATTTGAAAATGTACAGCAAGGAAATCAATTAGAGTGAACCAACAACCTACAGAATAGAAAAAAAATTTTGCTAGCCACCCTGCAGACACAGAACTAGTGCCTAATTCTGGAAAATATAAAGGAGTGAAAAAATTAGACCCATAAAGTAAAAGACTCAGTCAAGAAATGACCAAGTGAAATCAACAGACATCAGACAGAGGAAGCAGTACAAATGGTCAAGTGTATGGAAAAAAAAGTTCAACATCTCTGGCCACTAGAGAAATGCAAAAAGGAAAGGGGAAAATATCGTGCAAGTGTATATACAGTGTAGCTGAGATGATTGTACTACTAATTTCCATCAGGTTTTTGAAAGTAACAGTTAATGGTTAAAACTTTTGCTTTGACTAACTCTGTGTACTAATATCTGTAATCTGAGAAACGACATAGAAGGCAGCAGCGTGCAATACAGAACCCATGATGGAATGCCTTTCATCTGGTTCTTCTAGATGTGTGCCATTTCTAATGTCTTGTCAGGTATTATTATGCTCTTTAAAATAAATTAAAAAGTAGAAAGTGAAAAGGACAAGAAAAAAATTAAGGTTTATTGAAAGGAAGAGTTAAATTATTTGGCCAGTCTTGCATGCCTATATATGGTAATCTGAACAACCGTTTTGACAATAAAAATACATAATATAACAACCTTTGTTAATTTTCTATTCTTGTTTTGAAATTCTGTACCACATGTATTGCTGCATGTTGCTCTGTTTCTGTCATTGTTTTTGTTATTTGTCTTGTTTTTTGTTTCTTTTTAACTCTTTAAAATAAAATATAAAAAAGAAATGGAGATTAAACAATACTAAGGTTCCATCTTACTGCAGAAAGAATGGACATCATTAATAAATAAAGAACAAATACGGGCAAGGCTGTGGCGAAAAACCGTGCTCCCCAGCTGTCGGTAGGAAGGTGAACTAGCGCAACTGTTTTGGAACTCAGTATGGCGATTTCTCAAGAGCTAAAATTAGAAACTCTATATGATTCAGCTCTCCCCTGCTAGGGAGCTTCCCCAGAGAGCCTAAGCCGCCCTACCACAGCAGCACGTGCATCCCGATGTTTATAGCAGCGTAATTCACAAGATCTCAGGCCTGGCAGCAGCCTGTATGCCAGCGGCAGATGATTGGACAAGAAAATGAG